GGGAAGGTTATTTTAATTTTTTTAATTTTATTAAAACAATTATTTGATAGTTGTATGAAGATTGAACAGCTCACCTAAAACCTAACCTATGAACGAAAATGAATGGTATTAAATTCAATAATATCATACAACCAGTGGCATCATTTCGTTTTTCAATAGAGGGGCAAAGGTTTTGACCAGCCCGATGAATGGGTAAAAAAAAACTGCTCACAACTACATATTATCTGCTTAAATTTGTTTATGGTACCCTTTTTATTAACTAGGTAACATAATTTTTAAATATAAGGTAGCAGACATTTAAAAAAAAACAATTGTATACATATATCAGTTAAATGTCTGCAAACTATTATACGGCTATATTTATATTGATAAACGAAAATATTAGTAGTTTATTAGGATATCTTCTTTTTTTTGAAAATATATCAACTGCATTATCTATAAATCAATTTTACCTGATTCCTCACTTATTGTCCATACTCTATTACTCTTATATTGGTATACAATATATTTACAAATTAATATTATCTTAAATAAAAATATATTTTTTTTTATTGCTTAGTTATCACCTCAAGTTTTATCTGTTTATTAAACATACCGGAAATTATTTTCGATTCTTGAGCAGTTTGCGTTAATTTAATATTTTTAGCCACACAACCCATTTATTTTTTGTCAACCCAGTCATATTTTGATCAAATTAAAAGATTAATGTAAACACGCGTCACGAAAAAAATACATTTTAATTTAGGTAGAATAAGGTACTCAACTTAAATATTAACACAATACCCAGAATAGTTGAATCATACACGACTGTTGCAAGTTAACTGAAGTCCGTGATCAATGATAATTAATAAAAGTTTCAATCGGTTGTTGTTTTTAGAGTTTGTATTAGGTAGTTTTAGATTTTAGAAATTAAACTATACTAGATAATGATACCTACTAATTATTATTATTATTTTTACACATTACAAAATTTTTATATCCCCCCCCCCTTGAAAAAATCCTAGATACGCTACTGCTAACACACACTCACTGCTATACAACGTATGTATTTTACGTAAATTATTACGCGCTTGGAGGTTCGCCGCGATCTTTTTACGAGTAACGCGTCTAAATATTAATAAACTATATTACCGGGTACAGTGGCGGCTATCAAACAAAATAAAGGTGTATAAAATTTTGAATTTAACTGCCCACCCGCTAACCCAATAACACACCTACAAATACAAGAAAAAAAAGCGTTTAAGTGGGTGTCACTCTGCTGTCCAGTAGGCCCTACTAATAACTTCCATGTGATAAAATGCCATTTCACGTTAACAGGCTAATCCAAAAACGTATTTAATAACTGTATCTACTAAATGACAAATGTATAACAAAAATAAATAAAGTCTAACAAGGATCGACTTATAAATTATCCAAGATCGACCGTTTAGCCACCGCTGGTCTACAGTATATAATATAAACTGCTTAGGATAATAGCACGTAAAAAAATTAGTCAATGTAGATATCCATATAGTATAATTAAAAATATATAATCACGTTAAGAGGACGTCACACCCGCATGTGTTTTCTCCATCTTATAGATTTACAACATACAGCAAAAACTGTTTTGCTCGGGACAACTTTTATTTTTCTGTATTTGTAGTAGTGGCTCCAAAATTTCTGAACATATAGGATATAAAATTATCTTGTAGATAACATAAATACAATCAAAGTTATTTGCTTCTAAACATTTCGTTTTTTTTGTTATTTCATTTGCATTTAAAAAATGATTGGATAAAAAAAGCACGCACGGATACAGTTCTTCTTTACGTGTTGCGAACATTTGGTAATTCTACAACAAATATTGTGCAAGAAAAGTTGTTCTGCGCAAAACAGTTTTTGCTATGTTGTAGGTTCATTTGTAAGACGGAGACAACACTTGCGGGTGTGAGAAATATAATCCGTGGATACCTACTCGAAACATCTAAAGTCTATTATTATAATAATATACAAATAATATATATTCAATTCACCGTATTAATAATTATAATATGAATATATTATATAACAATACCTATATAATATCCTTGGCTGTGAAACTGTCTTTTCCCAGAATCGTTTTTCATATACAACGATATTATAAGATCCAGTGGCGGCTATCAAACAAAATAAAGGTGCATACAATTTTGAATTTAACTACCCACCTGCTAACCCAATAACACACAAATACAAATACAAGAAAAAAAGCGTTTAAGTGGGTGTCACTCTGCTGTTCAGTAGGCAGTAGCTGTTTACAAGTGGGTCACTGTAATAGATGGTGTTAAATTTGAATTATAGGATATAAAATTATTGTATACCTACAAAAAACGATTCTGAGCGAAGACCTATGAGTCAGCCTATGATTTATTACTAAGTAGGTATATTTGATGATGCCTAATATTATTTTGGATAAAGTAATTTGTTTTACTATTAGGAATTAGTACAACAGTACCTAGGTTAAATTAATTTTACAACAAAATTGCATTTGAAAATATTATTGTTTGTATGAAATATAATTATATACTCTATAAGTGTCATCTACCCACAAATAACATTTTTAAATTACAATAAAATAACTAAAATCGTTAATTTCGGTTTTAAAATGTAATTTCTTCTAAAAAATAAATAACTGAGTTTTTGTTTTTATATTTTTTGGTTATAATATGAACTATTAATGAGAATCTTTTTTTTAAAATTTTGTATCCTTACAGCTATAAAATTTAAACATTTTATAATTTTTCAACTAAGTACAATCAAATAGAATATTTTCAAGATTTTGATAAATGTTGTCAAAATATGAACTTAAACACTTATGAAAAAAAAATGTGATTATAGTTCTTTAATATTTATCAACTGCTATTTTAACAACTTATAAGGAACCTTGTGATAAATTTTAAAGCTTTTTCACACATTTTTATTAAAATGTATATAATAAAAAACTAAAAAAATTGAATATTTTAAATGTCTATTAATACCTCAATACCAGTTAACATATTTTTAAAAGGTTATAATAATCATTTAATGGAAATGTCAAGTATTTACTGGTTAATGGTTTTTGAATTACAACAAAATAAGAAAATTGTATGAGAATTTGTTAAATTTATACAGGTGATGAATATCCAATGTCTAACTTATAACTCGTAAAAATTTAATTTGTCTTTCCTGTCCATTTTTTTTTTTTTTTTTTTTGAATGTAGGATTAATTAAAGGTAATTTTGAAAGTTTCAAATCTTAGATATTATACATAGAACAATTTGTATGAATTTCTAACTCAAATTAATTTGACAATTTTCGTGATTTTGATGAATTTTGTCAACATTTTAACTTCAGACTTTCATTAAAACTATTGCGTATTTACTCTCAATTTTTTTTTAATTTCCACTAGGTAACAAAAATTAACTTATGAAGACCCATGTATTACAATTTTAAGTTTTTCAACTGAATGAAAAACTTTTTACCGGCAACAATAAATTAAAAAACCTACTTCAAATACCTATTTAATATTACTATTCTATATAAATAATGCATAATGCATATGCATAAGTCATAACACAGTAACACACCATTTATATAAAAGTAAAATTACTAATAATTTTAATAAATACCTACCCATTTATATTAAAATACATTCAATAAAAGGTAGTCAATAGGTACATCATAAATATTATATAAATTTATTTACTGCAATATTAACAATATTAACCAACATAATACCATTAAACGCTAAACGCTAATCGCTTTATTGTTATGTTGTATTGTCGTTAAATAATAATTTGAAAAATGTTTACATACAAAAAAAAAAAATCCATGTAGGTATAATAGATACAATTAATGAAATATGGTAGAAGAATTAAAAAAAACTTAACAATATGAACATACATAAAGTAAATGTATAAGTTTAACTTTATGTTCTTTCTCTCTCAGTTATATGGTTATAATAATATGATCACCTGGCATTGATGACAGGGTGGAGTGGTATACGCTATCCATTAGTTTATAGGTATATGCATAATACGCATTCCATGTAGGTATTTAGTTCAGTGCCTAAGAATGTGTGCAAGAGAATGCAGCACGCGTCCCAGGCGATGTGCCGATGGATGACCCGACATGCTTGGCCACAGCCAGTGTTGATAAGTTACTCTTAGTTCAAAAGATTTAATTTTAATTTTAATTTATTGAGTTTTGTTATTTTTCATTTGTTATATTATGTTTATCTCAATTAAAAAAACAATATAAAGTGGATTTTTTATATTGTTATATGTTGTATTTATTATTAATAAACTATAAACAGTACATTCTTGATTATAAAAATAAAATGATTGATATGAAAAATATTAATGTTTAAAAGAGAAATATCTAACTATTATTTAGTATCTATAGGCAGATAGTTGAATAGTTAGTATTTGAAGAGCAAATAATTAATAACTATGAATATTATAAAATATTGACATTGATGTTATTTGATTATGTCTTTTGTTGATAAAATGGCAATATAGAATAAAAATATGAATAAATAATTTGGCGTTAGGCGTTAGGCGTTATCGAGCGCCAAATTTTTTATGTGGGAAATTATAATAAAATGTGGTAATTTGTAGTACTCGTCGTGGGATTTGAAAAATGTTTAGCTGGCAACACTGGCCACAGCTCTCTCTTTCCGCGAATTTCGATTATAGCTTACGGCGCCACATTATAATATTATTATTGTTGTTACAAGGGTCAAAGACAGACAATAAAAATAATATTATTATGTTCGAGCGCAGCTGCACCTGGCGGCAACAACCAGTACCACTAGGAATTTTCAAGGTGAACATGTTCGTCGTTTGATCGTCGTCGTTCGATCGTCGTCGTTGTTTACTTTTATCGCCTGTCTAACCTTGACCACAGACCGTAGTCAAGTCACCATAGTTATTCACTCGTTCGCCGCAATCCTCGTCTCGAGGAGACCTATAGATATTCCATAACAGTTTTACAGCGACTTAACCATGCCAACGAACGGTCACGATAATATAGAAGTGGCGGATTTGCCACCAACCGCCTCGGAAATGACTACAGATAGTAATAACAACAACCAGGTGGGCGGTTTATTCGAAACCTTGTTTTGCATTATGGTGTTCGATGCCACATTGGAGTACTTAAGAAAATTCTCAAAATCTCTGAGGAATGTTATAGAATTTGTACTTTTATTACAGGTAAACTTTTACTTTATATTAAATGATGATGTCTACAATTTGTGTTCCTTGATTTTAGGCTGTCTTATCATTTGTTGTACTCGTGTATCTACACATACATTTTTCACGAATAGAAGCCAATTGTTTAGGCCATGTTAAAGACGTATGGCCTAGAGACGGTATACTCAGAGTGGAAATTTTTCGAAATTTTCAACACAGCCATGCAGAACAAACAGGCACGATGAACGAATTGTTAGGAAAATCTTATGAACGTGAATACAAGTTAAAACATATGGGTGAAGAAAATGCAAAATTGTTCAACCGCTTCACTAAAACTAATAGTCCCGAGTAAGTAAACAATTATTTTAAACTATATATAAACTATATAACTACTATAATTTGTTTTATTGTTCTTAAAATGCAATTAATTTATTCAATACCTACTTAATCTGTTAATCTTCTGAAAATATGCCCACTAATTAAAAAAAAAAATACAATATTTTTCTATCAATGTTTGAAAATATTTCTACATAAGATATTATTTTTCATTAATAAAAAAGATGTTAGGTAAAACCTATAATTTGAATTTAAAAAAGTTTAACTTCTGTTATTTTTGTAAAATCATATTTCAGCTATAAATTTATTTATCTCATAAATGACATAATATTAGATTTATCCGTTTTTTGTTAAATGTGTCTTTCGACATAATGGAAACACATAATATAAAAACTACAATTATTAAATAATAATTATTTTTTGTTTTATCTTAATTCAATATTATTAAATTTATAACAATAATTTAATTATTAGATTTTTAAGTTTTAAGCACAAAAACAAATAAAGTAAATTGGACTTAAATTAATATATTTTAAATATTGGATAATATTATAAGTGATAATTAGATTATATAATATGTATATTGGTACATTTATTGATTAATATTAATGTTAAGTATAGTATAAAACATATTTTAAATTGTCTTATGACAAAATATTCTTTTTTTAGGAAAAAAGGAGATATTGATATTGAACAATCAACAGAAAAGTTAGTTGAAAATAAATCTGGAGAAACTAACACTAAGTTATTCAACTACTTATCATTTACAGATTACACATACTTTGAAGGTAAAATTTATTCTAAGTAAACGTAAAATAAGAATTACATAGTACATATTTTTGTCGGTGCCATAAAGTGGTAAAATGTTTTTAAAAGTTTATGGTTAAATAATTGTTAGCAGAAAAATCAAATAAATAAATTTACATCTGATTTCTTTATACTTTATTTTATCATTAAAATCATATTATTATTACATTTGATTTGTTGGTAAATTTAAATTAACTTTGCCAAAAATTGTCAAACAATATTGATCTCTATTTACATGGCAATAAATTATCTATATACTATCATATATTTATACTTATATAATATATATATATTGTATATTAATATATTATATACTATAAATTATTTATATTAGAACCTCGATTTTTCATACCTTCGTCATACGGTTATTATCCGAACTAGCAACCCCAATTTACATTCCAAAACGTCAATAGGTCCTTTCATACATATATTCATGTATATAAATAATTATATAATAATTTAATGTTCATAATTATTATTACTATTATAAATGCCATATAGTATTGTGTATATTTTTTTCGTGATATGTATGAACATATTAAATTTCTATGTGTACAAATTGTTGTGTTATTGGTTATAAGTATAGAACATTTCCTATTATTTTTTTTTGATTAAATTATATTAATTTTATAAACAATTTGTATGACGGACTGAACAATGAAGTTAATTTAGCTTTGTGATGAAATTGTTTTTAAATTCATTTTTTTTTTTTAGTATAGATAAATAAATTATTTATTTAAGTTACGACCATGAAGGTAGGTATTTATATTATATGAGCTGCGATATGGGATTTGTCAATGAAAACACATAAATTATTTTTACCCTTTATTTTTTAGTAATACTTAACTCGGATTACATTGTTGAATATTCATTGGAACAAGGGTTCTTGCATTTGTCACCCAGTGTCAGAAATCGGTCAAACATTCCTGTAATGCTAGTAACCCTAGACCCTACTCTGTGTTATGCCGATTCAGTGAGTCAGTTTTTCTTGAATTATTTCCTTGGCTACGATAACTTACTGTTGTCCTCTGTTCAATCACTGGCTGAAAATGAACGAAACAAAGGATTTTTGAGGTAAAGACTTACTCTCAAAGAGGTTTACTGTAAATAGTTTTAACTTATAACTGCCATGTACATAATAATTATTGTTTAATATTTCAGAAATGTAATTTCTGAGGAATATAAAAGAGTTGATAGAATATCGAAGTCTAGATCGTCGTATATTTTATCATTTTTCATAATGGTCGTGTTAGTGAGTATAAGATAATTATTTATTATGAATAGCAAAATAAAAGAACTCTTATTTTAAACACGAGTTGGTACAGTGGTCAACAACATTGTTATACAGCGAGGAGTATAGAAACAAGAAAAAGGGGGCAGTCTTGTAAAGTATTCGAATAAAAGCATTTGAATAATTTTTTTGTATTAGAATACTACTTTAAATAGTTTTTTTTTTAAGTATTCAAATAGGTATTCTGAATACTTATATTTGTATTTTTTATTCATTAAAAAAATGTTTTTTTCTGATCCAGAAATACAGTTTTAAATTTGTGACAAGACATATTATAATAATCATAAACATTAATTTTATTGTTAGAACGAAATATAATATTGGCTCATGATATGATTCATTTTATAAACATCAATGTATTGTATCCTGTAGGCTGTAGGGCCCGTATCATATGCCGTCAAAATGTATAAATAAGTTATGATTACGATGTATTTTTATTTATTAATTAATAAATGTTAATTACCAACCATTCAAAAACTGACAAAAACTAGTTGTGAAAAAAAGTACCAATTCTAACGCCGTGTCCAAAGTAAATCCGGCGAGTGCCTCGAAAAACTAAACAGCTTGTATTTCGCCGCATCTTACGCATCGGACGCAATTGGAACAGCATGATCAGAATAGAAATCGCACTCACTCGCCGGATTTACTTAATAGTAATAGTATTAGAATATATTTTTTAAGAACTATTCTTATACGTATTCTGAATAGCTTAATTCTCAATTAATCGAATATGTATTCCGAATACAAAATAAAGGTATTCTTTACAAGACTGAAAGGGGGTTATGGTACCTAGTAAGTTTAATCTAGTTGTTACTCAAAAGTACAAAATTACCTTGGAATATATACTTTTTTAAGTAAACGGTGAAACAACATAATATTTACTGAACATTTGTTGTAATTTTTAAGTAAATAGACCCATATAGTGGCTTGCGAAACTATTTCACCAAATATTTATATACACACGTTCATTTTATTTTTCAATTCATCATCAAATTAATGAAAAATATTTACGATTTTGGATTTTTATCGGTAAATTAACAAATTTTCATAAATCAATTTTTGATATTTTGTTGAAATTTAAAAACTAATAACTGTAGACACTTGAAATTTCCACCAAAATATGTTAAAATTACCATTTTCCATACATGCTAATATTTTTAAACTATTTTGACACATTTTGAGCTACTTATAGTCGTGATAATATTTCAAAATTTGTAAATTATTTTTAGATAGACATTCATAAAAGATTTTCTTTCCATAGCTTACTTAATACATTCTAATAGAAGGTTTAAAAACATTTTTTGTACCTCTATCAAAAAAAAAAGTTCACCGGACTGTCACGCTATTAATAGCAATGGTGAATTTTGAGTTATTGTTATTTTTTTTATAACTATAAATTTGATTATTTTTATAAGTATGATAGGCTGACACAACGTCTCCTCTCAAGGTCGTTTTTGTACATAAATAAGTATTTTAATATTGTAAGCCCTTTGTTCATTTTAAAATACTCAGAACTTGCTTTAAAGTTAAAATATAAATACATTTGACGAATTCCCTATATTGTATCTTTCAACTTGTATTCTTAACCCAAAATTGGCGGAATTAGAACCAGGTATAATTTTTTTTTTAAATTATGAAATTAAATTTTGTTTAATTGTACCTATTTATTGTTTCCGTTTTACGACCATGATGCAAATTATTATAAAAACATGAACTTTTGAAAAAGACCTATTAGTAATCATTCGTTATTAAACAAACAATCTAGTTGAATGTCCCATAAACAGAATTGAAAAATATTTACAGGATAATGAGTGATAAAGTGTTCTCTGTCTCCGTGAACACACCGTATATTGTATTGAAATTAAATATTTTATTTTTTTTGCTTTCAGACTGTATTGATTTCAATGTACACGAGGTATTTACAACAACAGATAACTGTTTTCATAGGTAATCTATATTATTAATATTTTGTTAAATAAATATATAAATAATAATCATTTTTAAAAAAATTCTTTACATTTTGTTTATATATTGCTTTTTATTTTGTGCAGTGGGCTTGTCGCAACTAAATTTACGCCTCTCGGTCTCTTCCCTGGTGTTGCCAATTTACATCGTTTGTATTGTTCTGCCCGGTAAAATAAATTACGTACATAATGATAGTCATAATCCATCATTGCGATTTTTCATCGCACCCAAATATTATTACTATTATTATTATTATTATTATTAAAACATTTAAAACCCTGTCAAAGGCGTACACGTCATCGGAGTTCACTGACCCCCAAAAATATAATTTTATGCATTAACAATTAAGGACTTCGTCGACAAGATGACATTGTGCCGTGTCCTGCAGTGTGTGTGTGGCAATGATAATAACGTGGATAATTGGAATAACGAATACATTGTCGTTATGTCGTGTATAAAATTGATTTTGATTTCCGATGACGATATACGTTCTGTTTATTTATTTACTGTTATTATAATAAATATTATTATTTGAATTCCTGACAGGCTTGAAGGTCATAATGTCAGAAATGTTCAACGACCTAACCACGGCATTTTACGTCTTATTGATCGTTTGCTTAGCTGATCAATACTACATGCATTTTTGTAATAGTCCGATCACCCAAAAGCATTGGAAAAAGTGAGTACCTATATAATATAAAAGCTTTTTTATATTGTCGTCGTATAATATAATATACCCTATTGCGGGGGTTCCTAGTTAGGGGGCGACAGATTGGTGGATGGTACTGCAGACACAGGGGTGGGGGTTTTTACACGAGAGAATAGAGTAACAAGAAACAAGAGCTATAGAAAAAAAAGGAGGAACGAAGAAAAAGTTTCCATTTATAACGAGGAATGCGAACGCGACACTATAGGGGGATTTCATTGACTTTTTAAAATTTAGGGTGGTGGTGGATAGAGCTAATACAGTGATATACCCTGTATATATAATTATGTATATTGTAATATGTATACTACTGTTGTGTGTACCTACAAAGGTATATTGTATACAGTAAAACCTCTTCATAACGGACAATAACAATAGTTCCGAATAACCTATAGGTTTCCCATGTATTTTAGTCTCTCCAAAACGGAAACTCCTTTATAACGGAAAAGTCAGTTGGTACCGAGCGATTCCATTATAAAGAGGTTTTACTCCTTCTGTATTTGTATTTTTAAATCAAATATGTTTCTGTTCCAGGTTTTTCTGTCTTTACCACTTTTCGTTCTACGCTTACCATTTTCGGTTCAATGGTCAATTTAGCAAACTTGCTCTCATTTGTTCGTGGTTATTTATTCAGGTAATACGTTATGGCTTTTATTATTGTAATTTTTGCTATAATTTTTCACGATGGATTGGATGATAGCATATAATATATGTTTGCGCCATTACCGATCCTACGATTATTGCGGTTGTCGGCAACGACTCGCGTATTGTGTTGTGAATGGTAGGGGGAGGGGTTACCCGAGGTTAGAGTATTTAACTAATGTTACCTGAGTTGATGGCATGGCATGGGGCAGTGGCTGAAATCAATCACACGACGTGATTGAGAGTAAGCAACGGCCGCTGCCACTAGTTCTCGGATGGGTGACCACCGGAGTTCGTAGTGCGCAAACACCTTGACGCACACCCACGTGTTCCTAACCGACCGTCAGTAGTATACATTTGTATGTTCACAGTACGTTTTTTTTTTCACAGCGGTAAGTTCACAACGTTCAAGCGAGGATGTTCCTCTCGAACACACTGATTTTACAGCAACAAAAATCACGAGGAGATTTCACACTCGTTGTCCAAATATTTGCCACTCACACAAAAATATTTAAATTATAGCATTTAACATGGAAATTTCACATTTTTGTGTCCACGAATTCTCGCCTTACGCAAAATATTTACCATATTTTAAAATTACAGAGAGTTTGCACACTCTAAATCGGTTTTACCACTCACTCAAAAAATATTTACGTTGTATGCACATACCAATTTCTTTTTTTTCCAAATAAACATTTTTATAAAAATAAATTGGCATATAATATTGTGATGTTGTGTCTCCGATTCAATAGTTACATGTTCGTATCTTCTCACGAGTTTTTTCATTCTTTCTTGAAAAATGTATATAAAAAAAGGTGGGTAAGTGGATGTCGCTCTGCTGTACAGTAGGTTACAAGTGGGTCACTGTATAATGGATGCTATTAAATTTGAATTCAATGATACAATATCATTGTATAAGAAAAACGATTCTGAGCGGAGACGGTATGTCAGTCTAGGTTTAAGACAAATTATATACATATCTATGGTATTAAAAAAAAAATTGACCTATAATAAATTCCAAATTAATCATATCACATTATCACAATATCCATTAGGTACTTATAACACGTTATACATTAACATCAATAACAAACCCTGATACTATCATAGATATATAATAGTACACTTTAGAAGTTTCAAGTAGGTACCCACGAATAATATTATATAAACACAACAAAATAACTAGGTTTTTTAATATGTAATTTCGGCCAAATTTGAACATAAAATGACTATAAAAATAAACTGTGATTGTATATTTTTTAGATTTTTCGGTAAGAGAATTAACTACTTACGTGGAATCTTGTTTTAAATTTTCAATCCTTAGCTATAAAAACTGAAAATTTTATAATTTATTAATTACGATGATTAATAATTTTCGAGATTTTGAAAAATTCTGTCAAAATTCGATGTTTAAATGTTTATAAAAAAAAGTTGTGCCTATGTATTTTTAATATTTTTCAACTGATATTGTAACAATATATCAGGAGCCTTGTATTAAATTTTTACACTTTTTGGCCCAACAGATAAAACTTTATTGATATTCATAGAAAAAAAAACTAAAAAAATTTAAAAAGGAAAATATCCGTAAACAGCTCAAAAAGATTCAAAATATTTTCAAAATTGTATGGTGTATAGGAAATGCTAATCTAAACATTCAGTGAAATTTTCATGTATCTATAGTTATTCGTTTATGAATAACAACAAAATAAGGAAATCGCTACATGAGAAATCGAGTGAACATCCAATGTTGTAAAAATTTGAATTTCAAACGCTCATAAAAATTTAATTTGACTGTCCGGTAGAGATTTTTTTATTGCGAAAGGTAGAAAAACTTATGAGTAATCTTGTATTATATTTTCAAATCTTAGATTTAAAAAGAAAAATTTTTACGAATTCTTAACTCAAAATAATTTGCTAATTTTCGTGATTTTTCCATATTTTGTCAATTTTTGAACTTTAAATGCTTATAAAAAAAAACTGTGACTAACGATTTTTAATATTTTTCATCTGCCTTTGAAAAAATATACTAGGAGCCTTCTATTAAATTTTCAAGTTTTTCTACTCAACAAACAAAGTTTTATTGATATTTTTAGAAAAAAAACTAAAAAAAAATGGAAAATGAAAATGTCCCTAAACAGTTCAAAATAAATCAAAATATTTTGAAAATGTTATCGTGTATAGAAAAGGCAAATATAAATAACCAGTCAAAATTTCATGTTCCTACAGTCATTTGTTTTAAAGTTACACCAAAAACCAAATTCGATTTTGTCAAAAACCGATTTTGCGTAAAAATTCCCGTTTTTCCTTAATTTTTATGTTGTTTTTCCCGGCGCTTGTGAAAACTATTGGGAATTTTAAATTTTGACCAATGCACCAACGATATTCACTTTCCAATCGAAAAAGATACTGAAGTCGAAAATCGAAGCATTATTTCGACTACTTATCGTGTACACAGACACAAAAAAAAAAAACACACATCATTGTAAAATCAATACATTCATCGTTTCACTCAGAATCTTAAATTGTATATAGTAGATGCCAGATAGTCTGAAGTTAAAGTGGAAATGCACCATGCACGTCTGTGTCCAAGTTTCGTAGTTATTTGCCGATAGTATACATAATATGTACGGACGGTCAACCGGAAAGTTAGAACTCATTTTCACGGTGTTATACAATATTTTTTCTGATCGTTGGTACACAATACTTATTTATTTATAAAACATGCAGTACCGGCGTGTTGTATAATCGCAGACCATTTAGTCTGTACAAATTTGAAGTTTTAAACAGTGTTAAACAGTCAAATTGTGTTTAAACATTTTTCTGTTGCCCTTTTTTCCGCAGCATTCCATGGTTTACTTTTATCACCACTACGAGCTGGATGTGCTTGATGAGCTGGAGCAAGCTGAACGGTTGCATCGGCGACAACAACTATCCGTCCATCGGCGCCGATTGCGCCAACCGACCGGCGGTGAACAGACCGGTTCAGAATCGGAGTCTGAAGAACCTGAAGACTGAAAAACCTCGGTAATTTGCGGGCAGTGCTGTTGGGCTGGCTGAGGACTTTCAAGCCAACCCCGCCACTCCCCCCCCCCCAACTACACAACAGAATAAGTCTCCACAGCCTCCGGGGACGCCTTCGTCGTGACCGGAAGTGCCGGTCCAGGAAGCGTAACGCCCATTGTCGCAATTTAATGATGCTCTTTATACCCGCGATGAACTGTCAAACTGCCACTACCTATGCCTTATATACTCATCTTACTCATATTACGTTATAACGATGTTGACGACATAGTTGCCTACTACTGCTCCTCCTGATATTATTGAAATTTGTAATACAGCTTTTATAATATTATTATGCGTAGATTATTTTATTAGGTATATCATATTTAACTCGTTAACGTCCTTAAACCTGTGATAATATACGATGCACTTGTGAGTTGTGATAACGGTGGTGACGAGTAAAACGATGTATATAAAATGTATATATTATGTTATATAAATATATCACGGGAATCGAAACGGTGCGCTGGTGGCAGCGTGTGATATTATGTATTACCAGCGATATAGAGATAGCATAATAATCGAGGCTTGCATTTGACAAAAAAAAATTCCTTTTTATGTTACTTACAATTAAAACGTTTTGTTTTGCGTTTATCGTTATTTAATATAGTGTTAAAACCTATTGAATATAAAAATAATAACTAATGCGGGTAGGTAATTTTCCGGCTAAAAAATATAATATTATAATCAATTCTTAGATTCTCAGATTGTTTGCATAAGATAAATATTTCTACGAAACCAATAAACCTCTTACATAAATACATTTTAAAACATTTTGTTTTGCGTTATGTTTCGTTTAATGATATATAAATAATATATTTTGTTAATCATTATGTTTTGCTTTGACGGAATTTAATTATTTTTTATTGTCGCTTTCCGTTTAGTAACGTTTACAAATTTCAATCGTTTTTTTTTTTCATATAAACATTATAATCATAGCGTTATTAATTATTATAACGTTTGCAAGCCCTGATAATAATTATTAGTTATACTATATTATTATTACTATTATTTTGTATGTGAAACTTGCTCCTTTCGTCCTAGTGGTGGCGATGAAAATGGCATCGGAAAATATAAGTGGTGACGAAGCAAGGGGACGTTTTTTCTTATTTTAGGATTGTAAATGTTTTTATTTTAATGCTACCTAGTTTGTAATTTACGATTGTATAATTTTTTTTGTGCTCTAGAATTTGTAATAATGATATAGGTGTATTTTATAATATTATTATGTTAATGTTATTATACCTATGCCATTTTGTATTTTATAATATTGATATCATTAAATTATAATATCCCCCATTCTATAATATAATATATCGTACAATATATATGTTGTGTACTTGTGTATGACGTATACATACGTTTTTCGAACATTCAATTATATAAAATAAACTTGTACCTATGTACCTACCAAGTTTTTATTGTTTTAAATGATTTGTCTTCCATCTGCGTTCTTCACACTAGGACAAACTTCATTTTCTCATCATCCATTCAATCTCAACAATAGTGTTGAATATAAGATAATTGTATAAATTAATATTAAAATAAGTGGATATCGTTCTGCTGTACAGTAGGTTACAAGTGGGTCACTGTAATGGATGGTGTTAAATTTGAATTCGATGATATAACATCATTGTATAAAAAAAACGATTCTAAGCGAAAACGTCAGTCAGCCAATGATATTAATAAATATATTTGATGATATTATTGTGAATAAAGTAATTTATAAATAACCTATTTATGTAGAACCTTGTTTTAAATTTTCAACCCTTAGTTATAAAAGTTGAACATTTTATAAATTTTTAGCCACAAAATAATTATTAAATTGTATATTTCATTAATTTTGTCAAAATTCAAACTTTAAATGCTTATAAAAAAAATTGTGGCCTTGTGTTTTTAATATTTTTTAACTGCTATTGTAATTATATATATCAGTAGCCTTGCATTAATTTTTAAGCTTTTTTACCCAAAAAATAAAATTTTATTGTTATTCATAAAAAAAAAAAATTTAAAAAAATTTAAAACTGACAATGTCCGTAAACAACTGAAAAAGAGAGAATTTTATGGTGTATAGAAAATGAAAATATAAATATTCATTAAAACTGTCATTTATTAGTATCTACAGTTATTTTTTTTTGAATAACAAGAAAAACGATTTATGAGAAATCGAGTGAATATAAAATCTTGTAAAACTTTGAACTTCAAACGCTCATAAAAATTTTATTTTATTTTCTTGTGGACATTTTTTTTTTAGATAAATATAACAAACTGATGAGGAATCTTGTATTACCTTTTATTCAAATATTAGATTTAAAAAGAAACATTTTTATGAATTTTGAACTCTAAATATTTTGCACATTTTCATGATTTTTACGTACCTATATTGTTTAGATTTTAACTTTAAATGCTTATAAAAAGAAATTGTGACTATGGATTTCTAATATTTTTCAAATATCACTGTAACAATAAAGGCTCTTGCCTTTATACATTTTCAAGCATTTTTACCCACCAACTAAAATTTTATTGATATTTGTAGAAATGTTTTAGTTTAAATAAGATATTGCTCTCATTTACTATTACATTTAGGACGACCTCTGGCGGTCGTTGGACTATTTCAAGTTTCCAATTCACCGAATGCTTATGTTCTCATTTCCTATACATCATTATACAATATTGAATATATTTTCACTCGTTCTGAGCTGTTTTGTGACAATTTCAAATTTCAATTATAAACACTTTAATATAATTATATGTAAGTTCATAACTTATATTTTAATAAAAAAAAATCACTCTCTGAGCGATCTATACAAATTTTTTTTCACTCGTTAAAGGTTTAAGCTCAGTTATATGTGAACTGAGCATATTTTGAAAAAACAGCAATTTTGTACCAAATTTAAAATGATATACAATTAAAATTACTAATTTATTTTCTGTTATCGATGGCTCTCTATACAAATTGAAAATTATTGTAAGTATGTGGTAGGCTACCTATGTTAGTTAGTATTATTCCTTGATGATTTACTTCACAATATGATAAAAAAAAAAATCATTTAATGGTAGGGGATCCTCAAGCCCTCTTAAGTCTTACCCACGTTCCAATATTTGCAAATTACAATATTCTTATATGTTCCCTTGTAAAATATTTTGTTTTCAACAATGAATGATAAGTGATTACCTACTGATTATTATGCAATAATAATATACCTATTTAATATAATATTAATAATTATTCCAACTGTGTACAATGTACATATATAAATAAAAGGGGTATGTATAGGAAAATTCAATGAAAGATTAAAGTTAAAAAATAGAAAATAACGAAATAATAAAAAAATTGATAGTTAAATAAATCTGAAAAAGACAGTAAGTTCCAATTTTAGTATAATATGTACTTCCGAAGCAAGTACACAGCAAGTTAGCAAGTAAGTGAGTGTTTCTTTGCTGTACAGTATATTACTAATGGGCTAAGTTTATTAATATTTTTAAATTATAACACAAAACTAAAATTGTTTTTCATTGTTTAAATACCTAATTTGGTCAAAACTTGAACTTCAAATAACTATGAAAAAAAACTGTGTTTATATATTATTTTTTAGATTTTTTAGTTAGAGTATGAAATACTTACGTGGAATCTAATTTCATATTTTCAATCCTAACCTATAAAAATTTGAACATTTTATAAATTTATAACTTCACAATAATTTGTAAATTTTCAATATAATAAATGTTATTTTAACTTTAAATGCATAATATACAAAATGATGGGCGAGTTGGTGCCGCTCTGCTGTTCAGTAGGTTATATAAGTGGATGACTGTAATGGATAGTGTTAAATTTGAATTCAGTGATATAACATTATTGTACGAGAAAAACAATTCTGAGCGAAAACGGTCAGTCAGTCTATGATATTACTAAGCATATTTTATGACATTATTGTGCATAAAGTAATTTATAATAATATACAACCTATTTACATGGACCTTAATTTAAATTTTAAATCCTTGGCTATAAAATTTGAACATTTTATAAATTTTTAGCTACATCATAAGTAATAACTATAAAATTTAAAATTTGATACATTTTTGTCAAAATTCGATCTTTAAATGCTAATGAAAAAAATGATGACTATATATTTTTAATAATTTTCAACCGTTATTGTAACAATATATAATGATATATTGTTACAATAATTAGCTTTGTATTCAATTTTCAGGTTTTTTTTACCCAACAAATAAAATGTTGTTGTTATTTTTAAAAAAAAACTGACAATGTCCGTAAACAGCTCAAAAAGAGTCAAAATATTTTCAAATTTTTATGGTGTATAGAAAATGAAAATATAAAATTCAGTAAAATGTTCATGTATCTCATATCATTCGTTTTTGAATAACAATAAAATAACAAGCTACATGAGAAATCGAGTGAATATCCAATATTGTAAAATTTTGAACTTCAAATGCTCATAAAAATTGAATTTGATTTGCTTGTAGACATTTTTTTCTGATAAAGGTAGATAAACTTATCAGTAATCTTGTATTACATTTTCAAATCATGGATCAAAGAGAACAATTTTTATGAATTCTCAACTCAAAATAATTTGCTAATTTTCGTGATTTTTCAGTATTTTTTCAAGATTTGAACTTTAAATGCTTATAAAAAAAATTGTGCCTATGTATTTTAAATATTTTTCAATTTTCAACTGATATTGTAACAATATAATCAGGAGCCTTGTATTAAATGTTTACACTTTTTTACCCAACAAATAAAGTTTTATTGTCATTCATAGAATAAAGGTGCTCTGCTGTACAGTAGGTTACAAGTGGGTAACGGATAACGGTAAACTGTATAATGAATGGTATTAAATTTGAATTCAATGATATAATATCATTGTATAAGAAAAACTATTCTGAGCGGAGACGGTATGTCAGTCTAGGTATAAGACATATTAAATACTTATCTA